CTGCTCCGTGTTAATGCCATTCAGCAGATGAGATAGTCACGTACAGGCCTTCAGCAAGAAAAAAGAACACAATTTGCCCCACAGGCTCACTGCATGTTTTCGTTTGATAAACCTAAGCTATGTCAGGGGCACTATCTCATTTTCTACCGTAGGCTGCAGAGGTTCTTGCCAAGAAATGTGCTGATTTAACATTTTGGATCGAAATTTATTGATGCAGCAGGTGACAAGATCAGTAATTCAATGCTCAGAAAAGACTGTATAGATGGGAGTTGGGGCACGAAAGGAAAGATCTAAGCAGGCACTTATTTTTGGTATAGATATTTGTTAAGTTGTTGATCAATGACTTGCAGGTGTGACAGAATGCTGAAAAATCTGAGCGACTAGTGACAGACCTTAGAGATGATAGAAGTACCGAGGTAAGATTTACACAGGCAGACTGATGTGGATCCAGACACATGAGCAGAAACCACGACTGTCACTGACCCTTATCTCCTTTGGGCAGGAGAGTCACAGTGACATCTGTCTGGCAAGGGCTCCGAACAAGCATGTTAAATGCAGAAGTTGTTTCTGGATGCAAAAGAGGCAATCTGAGCTTAAGTATCATAGTTCTATTTTCAAAAAAGCATCTGCTTTCCAACAGCTCCTGGGAAGTCTAAGCACCAGTCATTTGCTGTTTAAAAGTATAAATACATACATTTTCTTTAAAAAAGTGAACAACAGACAGTTATCAAATAATGAGTAATTCCAAAGCCACACACATTTTCAAGCTTTATTAACATGTTCTCCAACTGCTGGGATTATCAATACTCCAGCACCACTGCCGCTGAACATGAAGCTCAGTTCAACTGTGACAAAAATTCAGTTGACAGGGCAGGAAAGTACTTACTGCAAATTTTACTTGGTATCATTGCTAGTTCAAAGCATTGTCTGCATAAATGCTATTGACAGCTGCACTCACTGCACCACACCCAGTTTCTATTCTTTTTGTCTTCTGCATGTGTTGAGTCCTTACATCTCCTTGCTCTTGCAGGTCTGAGCCTACAACTCTTTCCTTTTAGTATTACTTTGTGCTGCACTCACTGCACCACACCCAGTTTCTATTCTTTTTGTCTTCTGCATGTGTTGAGTCCTTACATCTCCTTGCTCTTGCAGGTCTGAGCCTACAACTCTTAGGCTTAGTACTTTTAGTACTACTTTGTGCTAAAGAAAGTACTATAGTAGCTGGTTTTTGACAAATGAAGTAGATCACAGTGCAGTAAACAAGCTAGCCTCTGTCCCACTCCTCCTCCTCCTCCCATTCCCAGCATGAAAATAGCTAGGGCTAAAGCAACAGCTGGGGATCATTACACTGACAGGAATAGTTCAGTAAACTCCAAGAGGGGAAAACATGTCATATCCAAAAAACCCAAAAACACATTAGGACAGCAGGACCTAAAAAATACATGAATTCAACTCCAGGGATAACGCTATGACTCTGCTTCCACTGATAAGGACTGACTTATAAAAACCCTGGTCATTCAGTGTTAACCCTTCCCCTAAGCTTCCCACTCACGTCATAGAAGTTAACAAGTACCCTGAAACACCTCAAGTCTTCACAGCCAAACGAGGCACACCGGGAATTAAGCACAAATAAATTTACTGCCAACTTCAAGCTAAGTCACATTAATATTTTATCTCCACTGCAGCTCTTACCTTCTAAGCACAGTCACTGTGCCACACACAGGCACACTGTGCAAGAGTGGTTGCAGCACAAGGCTACAACAGATCTACATTGTGTGGTGTCCCTCTGGATTTGCCACAAGAAATGCCAGAAGGGTAGCTCCCCATACGTTCAACACATTTTCTATGTTTTTCTGTGTCAGAGCACTATTTGCATAAATAATTCTGAGTCGCAGGATGTATCTGGCCGTAATTCCGAGATGCGCCTGTTACATTTTGTGACCGGTTTCTGAGGTTCTGTACCCATGCATTTCCAGGAGGCATCCCTTCGACACCTCCCACAGCATCTTCGGGTCCACTCTCAACTAGGAAAGACACAGCTCAGCCTTGATTTTTTTGCGAGATGCCTCAGGCGCAGGGGCTGCCCTCTGCCTGGGGATGTCCTCAGTGTCGAGAGCCCCCAAGCCTACACCCGCAGGTTCTTCTGTCCTCTGATGGATGAGGTACAGCCACCGACCAGCTTCACCTTCAGGTGCCCGGAGGCATGAGGACAATAAGGTCTACGTCATTCGTGAAGAAAGCCGTACGTTAACAAGCACTTGTGTGACTCCTGATCTCTTCAAAGCACTGAACAGATATTAATAGTTTAATCAAAGGCTAAGCTAACTCAAATTACCTCACATTTGCTGCGGACCAAGAATGTGCACACAGTTAACGGCGGATCAGATGGCATGCAGGAACTTGTTGGTGTGTCTGGGCCCCGAGACACAAATCTTGGAAAAAGACAGGTGAGTTTCACTGTCAGCCCCCGAGTCACACTGAACATTTATTGAAGGGAAGACTTGCCAAAAAAAGCGTTTTGTTTAAGAGCAACGAATGAAGGATGTTGCACAGAGGTGGAAAAGTTGGAATTTCCTTTTGGAAGTACTTAATTCTAAGCTAAACTCGCATGAATGCTAAGTGTGTTTCGAGTAGCTTTCTGTGATTGCTTCTTCATATCTTTCACGGGGGGCTACCATACTGTTAACTGGCCTACAAACTGCAAACTGGGCTCTGGTATTTAAAAACTAAATCAGTCCAAGGCATTCTTGGATAGAAAACATGTTTATGGATTCCTGAATTCTAGGAATTTTACAAATAACTGCCCCAACGCATACTTTGAAAAATACAAGCATATGTTCTTTGTCTTCCCCACGTCAAGCCCATTTCTGTGTGCAAAGGATCAGCAGTTCCCAAACTTCAGTGTCAAGTCCCAACTCAAAAAAATGAATCAATTTGATTTAGGAGACTACCTGTTTTCCAGAGGCAAGGAAACAAGATGAAGTCTATTCCCGAGAGGTGCTTCTCATGAGAAGAGAATAGGTATGAGTGTATTACTCTGACAATGGTCAGAGTAATACAGACACCCCTTCTTTGCTTGGCTTTATAAAGAGGAGAAAGATGGAAGATTTGGCTCTGCAAAATACAGGGCATGCTGCAGCATAAATACAACAGGCATCCTGACTCTGCAGGAGACTTGAATGGAGCAGCAGCAAAGCTAAAGGGTTATTCTTTACTCTTCTGACATGAAAGAAGCTGGCAGCCCTCTCTCCCTTCCCTACCCTTCCTGTTTGGTAGCTGGTACAAAGCAGCTTTCCTCATCACATATTAGAGAATCATGAATTAGACATGATACCACTAGACTCTATGAAGTCAACACAGCTTTTTCAATAACCAGAATTATACGGGAATTCAATTACCTTAATTCACTTCATCTTGAGACAGCAACAAACATTTTTATATTGATTACAATTCTTCAGAATTACATTTTCCTCATTCTACATGTCATCCAACTGTAGAGCTGGCGATACTTAGTGACTGGATGAAAGATGTAACCTGGCACATCTGAATGCAGAGTGCTCATCTTCTGTGAAACTCAATGCCTTGCAAGTACAAGACATGTGCAAGTTCTGGCTTTTTTATTTTGGTTTGGTCTTTTTCCTCCGAAGATTGATGTGCTGCAGTTCTTTGACTCCAGAGCAGACAAAATAATCTGGGAATATTGCCTATACTAACGGATTTATAACTCCCAAACTTTAATTTGAGGACTGTGATTTCAGTTTTCTTTTCCATACTTGTTTGACATAGAATATTCCAATGAAAACAAGCAACAAAGCCAGTAATATTTTAAAAATCTAATAACAAGCTAATTCTTGCTATATCTTAAAGAGGCTTGGCAGGGGCAGTGACAATAGGGGGTAGAAACTTAACAGTTTTGTTTGGCAGCCTCAGGAGACCTAAAGCTGCATATGAGAGAAAAATCCTCTAAATGCAACTGTTAAAATCATCTTCCACACACTGGCCATCTTTCCACAACAAACATGGTCTTATTCTACCTGCCTTTTTGCCCTCAACTCCTACCACCCTTTACTTTTCTGTCCAAAATGCCACTGAAAGTAATTTTCTGCTCCTCTTGGATCACATTACTTGCTCTCAAAATCCATCATCACCTTTTCTCTGAGGCCACTGTGCTCAAGATCTCGGTTCACTCCTGCAAGCTCCTATTAAAATTTCACCTGTAGCTAGGTGGATCCAGTATTCTGATAAAACATAAATCTTATGTTTGCTATTGGCATTTTGCTATGTTCTGCCATTCTTCCCAGTTATCTTTTCCTGGTTCCTGTTCGTTGCTCTGTACTGTGCTGCACGCTATGAGTGGATCACTGTCTGTTTTCACCTTCTGAGTCTTTTCTCAATCCCTCTGCATCGTCTTCTTCCTCATAAATATCACACTCTGCAATTTGACCTCTGTCTACAGAATATTGCAGAATTGTCAAACTCCCATAAAAAAAACCAGATGTATTTGCAGGAAAATACCATTATCTAAAATAGAAACATATTTAGATACACACAGCCCACTCCTTCCACACTCTCTGAACAGCAACATATTGAAACTTATAATACTCTATATCCTTCAAAGTAGGGTTGCCGCTCCAGAACAAGCCTTTACATCTTTAATAAAACAGCCTTAAAACATTGCTCACTAAAGCCTTATAGACATAGAGGAGAGGAAGAAATTTAAACTCTGAAATTAAAACTTCCAAACACAAGTGAAACTGTCCCAAGGTCCAGGCACTGCAAAGCTACTACATACACAGCTCCAAACTTGTCCTGTAACATTTTTCTGAGCGTCCTCAGGGACAACAGGTCACAGGAGTCAGTGGGAAACCCAAAATCTGGACTACTGCCCAGAAAAGAAAAAGCAGGCAGATTCAATATGCAAGAGAAAAAAATAATAATAAAAAACCAACCCACAAACCAATTACACAGTGCCTACAACAAAGAAAGCAGAGCCTGCTAACCTTCTCGTAAGCTGTGATATGAATCCTGATATGTGCTTGAACAGCTCTTCCCTTGCTTTGACACAAGCGGCACAATCCCGACATAGGCAGGCTGGAGTGTCTTGGCTTTATCCAACATATTAGAGGAAATCCCTGGACCTGAAGGCAGATTCTGTAACACAGGAGGCGTCCCAGGCTAGTGGATGGGGTGCTTAATCCTCACAAGAGACCCAACCGCAATCCCTCTCTACCAGGTTCCTCTCACTGCACCAAGCGGGAGAGTGGAAAAATAAAAAATTAGTTTACTGCTAGATTCCAAGGCTGTGCTTGCATAGGAACAGAGAGGTACTCGAGGCACAGACAAATCCTGACAGCCAACATCTAAAGACTAAAATCAGCAAGGCTCTTGGCAAAACTTTTCTTCCTACTGTCTCAAAGCTCAGACAGAAACGTCCCCGTTTCAGCAAGCGGCTATAAGCATTCAGGATCCCAGTACGCAGCGCGGTGCTTATCAACAGATGCGGGGACTTCTCCGTGGGGCCACTTGCAGTAACAGCCAACCTCATTCACCCAAAATAGTGAACAGTTGGTTTCTCTACTCACACTACAGACACCTGCCAGACAGGCAATATCATGTGATGGAGCACTACCCTCTCCCCCTGCACCTCCCGACTGTAAGCATGCTGTGCACACAGCCAGCAGCACACCACCACTCTGCATGCAGAAGCCACGCTGCCTTTTTTTCCTCTTTTAACTATTAGAAATGGAATTTCAGTTGTGGAGAGTTAAACTGACAATCCAGGAAACAGAGTTGTTCTACGCATTTGCTCTGAGACCACATAGAGGTAACAGCAGGCCACTTCTGTTCAAGCACACATTCCCACCTCTTTTTCCCTTAAATCCTTCCTCCCAGCCTAGTAGAAACACCTACCTGAAGATAATCAGGAGCCTCCAGTAAATAACCTTCTACTGCACCACTAAAACTTCAGAATCTGTGCTTGTATCATAGAATCATTTAGGTTGGAAAATGCCTTTAAGACCATCCCATCCAACCATTAACCCAGCACTGCCGAGCCCACCACTAAACCATGTCCCTGAGCACTGCATCTACACGTCTTCTAAACCCTTCCAGGGGTGTGACTCCACCACCTCCCTGGGCAGCCCATTCCAAGGCCTGACAGCCCTTTCAGTGAAGGAATTTTTCCTAATATCCAATCTAAACCTCCCCTGGCACAACTTGAGGCTGTTTCCTCTTGTCCTGTCACTTGTTACCTGGGAGAAAAGACCAACCCCCCCTCTCTACAACCTCCTCTCAGGTAGTTGTCAAGAGCAGTAAGGTCTCCCCTGAGCCTCCTTTTGGAGACAGTCATCTCACCTGGAGCTTATTTAATGTGCACCACAAACAGATGCCACACAGTTCACAAACTATGGTTATATGTACTACCCAGTTTGGAACTGGAACTGGAAGGGACCAAGGAAAAGCACGCTCCATCTGAGCAACAGCCAGGAATTACTCTCACCAGTACAGCTGGTGGTTTGTGATCTCGCCAAGGATGTATCATACAAGGTGCAGTGAAGGCTGAGGGGAAAAAAAAGAAGAAAAGAAAGAAAGAAAGAGAAGGGTTGTCCAGTGAATACACATACCAGAAAAAAAGTATTCTGGTATCTTTCCAGAAAAAGAAAAATAAAAGATTAATAGTAAGCAGTGTCATCCTACAAGTCTGAAGCAAAGATAGCCACAGGGCTATTGCAAAAATAAGAAGGTGAATACTCTAAACACCACTGGAACAGTCTCCATTTCATATTGTGCCCTCCCCCTGCTCACAATCAAGACAAAAAAATACCATCTCCAAATAGTCTGAGAGGTGTCCAAGCCATTTTATAAAGTGAGACTGGAATAACAATCACAGGGGGAAAAAAGTTTCTAATAATGAAGCTAATATCTAAGAAAAGTAGTCTTCAACAAAATGTAAAAAGCATTACTAACTCTGCCATAAAGTGCAGTAGAGCAACAAAACAATTTAACATGTTTTTAAGTTACAAACTAAAATAGTAAGGTACAGCATTTTACACATTTACTAAATCATGATGCTAGGTGGCATCAGCGACATCTCCGAGTACCTCCAACAGTACTCTTCTTACTTTGAAACGTTCAGTCTTTACTCAGAAAAGAATTCAAGCTCCAAAGTTCCTGTGGGTAAAAAAACCCCTTTGGTGATAATATAAAGCTCCACGATCACATTATTTCTGAACTACCAATGTATGCTCAGCACAAACTCTCAAATTTCGGATTTATAAAAGTCAGGTAAAGGTTCAGTTTCACAATGAACTTTGGCCAATAAGGTCAAATTACTGCATAAATAGACGAGCCCGCTTTTGCGCGAGCATCAGCAGTGGTGACGCTGCAGAGCTGCCTCGGGAAGCCGACCTGGCAGCCCACAAGAGTGCTCAAGCCAGGCCCAAGGAGAGGAGAGAGAAACACACTGTTTGCATCTCCCCTTTCAGCAGCAACACACAACTGCACAGGCCTGACACTCTCTGCAGGCAGGTCCCGTAATTACTGTAATAACTAAAGAACAACTATCCTGTGCCAGACCGAGTCCTACTTCTTCTGGCAAGCCATGCACCATCTGGATGGTGGAAATGACATGATTCAGCTGCAGAGGTCAAAGACTACTCTTACTTTGCTAACCAGGGTCTCTGAGCTAGCAGCTCACTGCAGCGTACGAGGCCTGGGAAATGGGAGCTGGTTGCTGTATCCAGCTGACTCACCAATATCCAGGTTATTGCCCAAACAGCCCTCAGATGTTGCCTGAGCTCTGATGAAGAAAACTTTTAAGAACTGAAAGAAGAGAGGTACCAAACAGCTGTGAGATATATTTCCGCTTTTGGCAGTCTGCTGATACAACCAACCCTCTGCTGCTATAACTGATGACCAGCTTGAAGATTTGATCCTCTCAATGTGTTGCAGAGCTGCAGATACATATGCAGACATGGCTTTCTTCCTCTGTAGAAAACAGCTTGGACAGAAAAACACCTACTGGCTCAATGGTAAGTAGATAAATCTTTTCTTCACTGAGCACGATATTCTAAAATGTTGTCCTTCAAGCATCAAATTTGTCCTATAGGGTTATTTAGTGTTCTGAAGGAAGGAGCAATTATCCAAAACAGAAAAATATGGGCCAGAACGCTCCAAAAAGGACTTGGATAATGCCCTACACACTGCAAGAAAACAAAGTCCGAGGGGCCCAGGTTGTAGGATATCTTCAACAAATAAGCAAGGACTCGTAGGGCACCTCCTTACAAAATATGGATTCTGATATATGAGTAAAGACCAAGAGCAACCTGTCTTATATGACAGGTTGACATAACACCGAAGCATGGAACTTAAACAAAAGTTTAATTTGTTTCATTGGATCCTGATGAAGTGGTAAGAGATTTGAAAGTCTGGTCAGTGATTGCATGGACAGAAGTGTCAATGTACAAGTAAAGCCTGATGAGTAATTTGACAGCTACTTTGGAAGTCAGCAGGGTAGAAGGGAAAGTCCGTTTCATGGCAGAGGCAGGATTTCTAACTACAGTTTCAGTCACTTAAGCACTCCAGAAAAGTAGGATCAACCCACACCGATGCATATCCAACGTTCCGTGCCTTGCAAAAACTTTACACTGGAACCAGCTACAGTGCTGCTGGCAGAAAGATCACCTTTATCAATAGGACTTAAGTATTTGCCACAGATTTCTGGGTTGGAAAACATCAAGCCCAATTTTCATAATCTGTCCATGAGACATCTATTGAGCTTTACATCCTTTGACTTTCAAGTGTGAAATGAGATACAGACTGTGGGAATGTATTCTTCCCCAAGATGCTGCATTACTATTTATACCCTCACACAGAAATAAAAAGTAACATCAGGTGCACATATGGCTTGCACAGATACTGCTGCTAGTTCTGAGGCCTGGTGGGCACAGCATTTGAATGCCAGTTATTATTACTTACTCAATATTCTGAACAAATTCATTAATTTTCTCTTGTTTTATTTTTCTATCCTCAAAAGCCAAGACAGCATGTAAGCAGCAGTTTTTTCAAATTCCCATTCTGTGCTAGAAGATAAATACGGAAGGAGAGAACCACCCTTAAGGTAAGTTCTAACCCTGCTGTAGAGATCTGACTTCTAATTCCAAGAGCACACAAATTTTTGTCTGTGCAAAGTTAGCATCAGACCTTCAAGGTGCTACAGCTTAAAAATTTGCTACCACCAAAATGATCTCTCCCAGTTCAACTTCTCCCATCCTTCTCCCAGCCACACACACTTGTAGCCTCCTTAAAACCAGTTCTGACATTAATCTGGTACCTTAATAACTGGATTCAACTTACTAAACAGCATTACCAACAGGTGGGACGAGCACCAGAGCTTGTGGCTGGTGAGTGAACACATCTGGGAAGCGAGAGAGAGACTACACCGAGTCTTGACACAGGCTAAACTTTGGATCAGCTTAACTGATACAAAACTGCATCATTCCCTTTATCGCAAAAAATGAATGTATTCTTTACATTTAAATCAATAAGCAGATAGAAAACTTGCTGACAACCCACTCACACCAACTTAAAATGTGCTTTTTTCCTCCTTTCACATCCAGTCCTCCCTGCAGCAGGTTCTTTGTCTTCCTTCCGCCAGTAGTACTATTCCCAGACGACACAGTGCCGGCAAGGATCTGCATGCACATAATTCAGTGGTGAAATCCGAACAATGTACTGCTAAAAACTGGCAAACAGCTGCAATATATGCATACTCAGGCAACATGAAAAAGACCTCAGTCCGGGTCTAAGCCAGATGAACCCTTAGAAAGAAGCATGAGCTCACTATATTTGAAGATGTGTCTCTGATATTTCTAAGCAAGCAGACAAAAGCTGAAAAAATAATAGAATGCTGCACCTACATCACTGCAAAGCTTTGGTGTCTTATGACTATTCATTTTATACTTCAAAATAAAGACAGACTTCACACTGACACCTGTGTTGCTTACTCTTTCTCAGCTAAGGATCACATTTATGTAATGTGAGTTTGCTTTGGATATTCCCAGGATCCTGCCTCCCACCAACAGTGACCTTCAGGAAGAAGTAGACACACCAAGCTGGCA